ATACTTATTGGATCCCTCTTCGTTACTTTCAACAACCCCCAATTGTTTAATTCTTGTAAAATTTCAATTCCGGACTTTATCGGTGGAGCAATGTCTATAACAACTGAATTTCGCTTGAACGCGATCCTATTTCACACGAACGGATGGCGTTGTGATAGAAACTTTCGATGGCAATCAAACCATAAAGTTTTCCTCCCATTTCGAAGGGTGAAAGCATCAAAATTTTCCATACAATACGGGCATGTTGTCTTACCCGTAGTACTCCAACCCGATAACATTGAATATACGGAAAAGTCACTAATTGTCCACATGACAACAACTCTCATTTGAAAATTATCTTTACGGGACACATCATAAGTAAGAGCACCTACTTCCCATAATTCTATCAACTCTTTAATTAAGGGTTGTAAGTATACGTCTAAATTGATTTTAGGGTTCTTAGGACCAAGGACAATAACGATTAAAAACATATATTCTTCTTTCATATATTTCCATGGTGGCAAATTGTATGGCGTTACAATGACGAGCCATGAAGAATATTGTTGTCCGGACTTACCAAACGGTTGAAACCCATCGGTGCAAACACCTAATTTAACATTCTTAATTTCGATGTAAAAGAAGGATGTGTTTGGTTAAAATGTTGCCATGCGAAGGAGTCCGAACAATGACGTATGACGTTGGGCTCACACACATGTTGCGCATGCCATGTCATGTCATTAGGGTGCCATTTGAAGCATACATCCTTTGTAATTGTGGGGTTATCGAAAAATAATACATTTTTTTGTAGGGGAAAAATGTTTGTCTAATCAAACCCCGCCTAGGATTTCGATATTGAGGATGATCACATATTTTACAATAGATTATCCGACCGTCCCGGCCTCAATAAATCATGCAACCATTAATGCAACAGTGGATCTTTTCAACGGGCAAACCCATCATTTCTATCATTTTTTTTGTACTATAAAAGTCTTCCGGCATACGAGTTATCGGGAGGCATCAACTCTTTCATAAGTTGACATAAATCGTCATAACACCTCTCCGAAAAATGATGCTCGGACTTGAGATGCAATAAACGAGACATTACGGATAACTCGTGAATGGTTTTTCGACCCAAGCCATATTTCTCTATTCGATGCATCTAATAAATCATAAAATGCTTGTGCGAAGGGTTTGGGTCTTCGTCCGTGTTAGACGGATTAAAAGATGGACCAGTTCGCATCCATCACCATTGTGTGGTATCAATTAACTTGACGATCATCACATATTTGTTCTTGTTCAACATTATTAAACGAATTGGCATTAATTGCTAAATCATTCTCTCCATGACGTCTCCACACATAATACCCGGACATAAACCCATATCTAAGCAAATGATACTTAACGGTATCGGGGTTTTCATAACTATGATTTTGACATTTTTTTTGTTTACATGAACATCGTATCTTATTTCCATTCATGCACTCGTGGATGACTAACCGCAAAGTTAATAAATTCATTAACCCCTTCTACAAAACGCTCATTTAATAATCCACCGGTTAATCTAAAGTCAATCCAAGAGCGATCCAAATTCATTTTAAACAAAATAGTAATAAAGTAATTGTATTAATTGCTTATGTAATTACTTAAATTACTTTTATTACTAAATCTAAAATCTTTTTTTGTTACACACAAGTTATTTTCTAAATATATAAACAAGCTAAGTTTAGAAAAAATGTTAAATAAAACTTTAATTACTAACAATTACAAATATTTCTAATAATTTTATTTTATATTTATTTAAAATTTATTTCAAAAATTTTTTTAATACAACTTAATTATTTATTTAATTACTAACAATTACAAATATTTCTAATAATTTTATTTTTTATCTATTTAAAATTTATTTCGAAACTTTTTTTTAATACAACTTAATTATTTATTAAATTCCTAACAATTACAAATATTTCTAATAACTTTATTTTTTATCTATTTAAAATTTATTTCATAAAATTTTTTAAATACAACTTAATTATTTATTTAATTACTAATAATTACAAATATTTCTAATAATTTTATTTTTTATTTATTTAAAAATTTTTTTAGAAACATTTTTAAATACAACTTAATTATTTATTTAATTACTAACAATTACAAATATTTCTAATAATTTTATTTTTTATTTATTTAAAATTGTTTTTAGAAAATGTTTTAAATACAACTTAATTATTTATTTAATTCCTAACAATTACAAATATTTTTAATAATTTTATTTTTTTATCTATTTAAAATTTTTTTCAGAAAATTTTTTTTAATACAACTTAATTATTTATTTAATTCCTAACAATTACAAATATTTCTAATAACTTTATTTTTTGTCTATTTAAAATTGATTTCAAAAAATTTTTTAAATAAAACTTAATTATTTATTTAATTACTAACAATTACAAATATTTCCTATAATTTTATTTTTTATCTATTTAAAATTTATTTCAGAACATTTTTTAAATACAACTTAATTATTTATTTAATTACTAACAATTACAAATATTTCTAATAATTTTATTTTATATTTATTTAAAATTTATTTAAGAAACTTTTTTAAATACAACTTAATTATTTATTTAATTACTAACAATTACAAATATTTCTAATAATTTTATTTTATATTTATTTAAAATTTATTTCATAAAATGTTTTTAAATACAACTTAATTATTTATTTAATTACTAACAATTACAAATATTTCTAATAATTTTATTTTTTATCTATTTAAATTTTTTTTCAGAAAATGTTTTTTAATACAACTTAATTATTTATTTAATTCCTAACAATTAAAAATATTTCTAATAACTTTAGTTTTTATTTATTTAAAATTAATTTTAGAAAATTGTTTTGATTTATTTTTTACTAACCTAACGCTTTAACTTAATGAACTAGGAATTATTGAAATTAATAATGTTTTCAATAAATTGTGAATTACTTAAGTAAATTAACAATTATTAGCTATACTAATAACAATAACAATAACAATTTAAATAACAACATAAAATAAAATATAACAATTATATTTTCTAACAAAAAAAATTAACAATAAATTAAAGTAAGTAAATTAACAATTAACAATCGAATTAATTCAATCAACAATTAAAAAAAAACAACACAAAATTAAAAAGTTAACAATAATATTCAATTAATCAATAATTAACAACAACATTAACATTCCAATTAACAATTAATATTAAATTAACAATTAAACATTTCAATTAATTATCACAATTTACACTAAAATAACACACAAAATAAATTTTAATTAAGTAATCAAATTAAAAAAACACAAGCAATGAACAATCAATTCAATAATTAAACTAGCAATAATAAGTAATTAAACAAAACATTAAAAAAAAATCTAATTATTTGACATAAACAAATAACTGAAAAAATTAATAATTGAAAGGATGGTTTAGATTTAGGTGGACTCGTCACCAAGAGAAGGAGGGGGAGCAACCGTCGGAAAAAATACCTCGTCGGAATATGATTGCCGGAAAACGGCAGCTTCAATGGAAGAGAGAAAACTTTAAAGGAGGAGGAAAAGAGGGAAGAAATAGGGAGATTTTAAGGAAACAATAGCTTTGAGGAGAGAGAGCAAAGGATTGGAGGACAAAAAGGCGAGAGATGTCGTTACGGAGGAGAAGAAGAGAGGAGAAGAAAATTAAAAATGACGATTTCGATCGATCGCTATTTATAGAAGAGTAAAGTTTTTGACCGTCGCTAAACCGTCGCTAAATGTAAATTCGAAATTAAATTTGACCGTTTCTCACCAACGGTTTACTTTTAGCGACGATTTAGACCGTCGCTAAATTAACGTTTGCAATGGTTATTTTTTCAACCATTAAAATAATAAAATTAAATTACCAACGAGGTTATCGACGGTCCTAAAACGAATATTGGCAATGGTTGAAATTAAATTAACGTTTGATTTGGCGACGTTTTAGCGACGGTCTTGGACCGTCGCTAAAACGAATATTTTGGCAATGGTTTAATAACGCCAAACCGTTGTTAATTTTCTTTTTGGTAATGGAATAGCGATGATCTGTGACCGTTGCTAAATTTATTTTTTATTTAGGGTTTTTTTTTTTTTTATAAAACCATTGAAAAAATATTAAATAACATTTACCAACGAGTTTAAACCGTGGCTAAAATGGTTAGCCTATAAAATTAGCAACGGATTGGTGGACCGTTGCTAAAAACTCGTCGCAAAATTTAATTTTTGTAACCATTTTTTAGACCGTTGCTAAAGTGTGAAAAATTGTCGCTAATCTAGGTATTTAGTGACGATTTGTTGACCGTCGCTAAATATCCGTCGCTAAAACTCATTTTTGTTGTAGTGTCGGCAAAGATGATTATGCTAATTTTGATCACTTTTTAATTATGTAGAGAGTTGTAAACACTTTCAATTCCTAAACTTTGTTAAGAAATTGAAATTTTTTAATCCGTATTTATTTATTTATTTTAATTTCATACTAATTAATTTTCAATCCGTCTTTTTTTAATTCCATTTCAATTACATCCATAATTGAATGTCACTTGATCTTCGCTTTTCACATCATTTTCAATTGGATCCCAAATCATCTTTTCAATTTTTTCAATTTTTTTCTTTTGTAATTAAAAATGAAAAATGATTTTAAGAGATTAAACATAAAGAAATTGATAAAAATGCCTAAAAATCATGAAAAAAGACAAATTATGCAATATTTTAATATTAATTTTTAAAATTTTGAATTTTGTATGAAAATAAACAGAGGATAAAAAATAGGTTATAACACTTGTCTTCTTTTTACAATACTTAAGATGCAAAGTCAAAGAAAAAAACATGTTTCTCAATTACTTTATATAATAAATTTATATATAAAAAAATTCTTTATTTTATTACAAGATTGGTGTGGTTGTTTCGGACATGTGAAAAGAACAGCAAAAGTTCAATAATTATACGGAGAGCCCATGAATGACCATGGCCCGCATGAATGACCCAAAATTTAGTTTGGATTATTCATTGCGGATGCGGAGGCAAGCAGAAATCCGGCACCAATAATTGTACGGAGACGTTGGGAAGAAAAACTTTCGAATTAAATGGAACTGGAAGAGCAAAAGAACAAAATACATATAACGAAGCTCATCCGCACAATATTTGGAAGTATCAAAACCTTAGTTGTACGGAGACGGTATATCATATATAACTCATTACATTCTGTTAAATAAAAAAGAAAAAAAACGAAAAAAAGGAGAAGCATAAATAAGTTGTCGATGCGAAAGAGATGATATCTTGAAGATTATGGGGATAATATAAAGGAAAACTTTGAAATCTCCAGTCCCCTTTTTTGATCTTCTGGCGCTTGCCATGTTCTCATGAAAATTGAATGGACATATAAAGTGATGATTTATACAGTAGAGATCATTGATTTTATTTTATTATTTATTTTTTTAACATTTGAGGTTTTTATTATACCAATATTAATGTCAAAGATTATGGTATTTATGCGAGTGGAGTTCATTGAAAGTACAGACAAGTTTTTTTTTTAAAGATGTCAAGAACGAAATTCAAAATTAAAAACTTTCAAACTAAGTGAGTCTCTTATTAACTACTTGCCAACCAATTGAATGCAAGTCTTGCTATTTCTATGATCAACTCTTTTCCCACATGTATGTATTTTGTCCAAGATATGTATTTTGTTGTTGTTACTAATGAAATTTCCTATTTATCTTATTAACAGGAAAAAATCAAAAAAAAGTTAGTGGTCCTAGGTCTAGGATTTAAAAGACCGTCCCAATTCGTTGGTTTGGGAATTAGGACACGTGATTGCGTTGCCTTAGCTGCCCAAATTATTGAAATGGTAGATATGACTCTTAAATCAAGATGAAAGAACGAGAATCATCCATGTAATATTGAGGCAGCATATAACGAGAAGTAGAATTTATTAATTCTCAAAAAGCCTCAAAACAAAAACAACAGAAAAATTGTGGAAAGAAAATCACAAATCTGATAATTTATTCAATAGATAACTGATGGCCAAAGACCATAAGCACTACCGTAAATAGTTTGTCCTAGACAGGCAAGATCAAAATAGAAAATAACTAAATCACCAACAAATCCAAAAGTATTCAATTACGTATGTAGAAATAAAGAAAATGATAAATATGAAGGCTATAGGAGTAATCTAGGCTTGCCATGCGTGCATGAATCTTAAAAGGATTTGGAAGTAGGTTTTCAGATTGAATTTTAATCTTGATAATAGTACATGATGGTTTTTCAGTCACCATCAAACTATATTCATCTAAATTACCTTTTCGAATAGATAAATTTGCATCAATCAAACACTTGAGATAAAAAATTATGATATGTTAAGTTAACATTAGAAAGCAATTTATAAACAAAATAATATGACATGCAATAAATTGTACTTTCTAAAATTTTGAAGGAGATCGAATAAGACTAAAATTTTGAGATGGAAGGAATATAACTTAAATATTTTGAGTTAGAAAATAATATAAAACTATTCTAAGAACTTATCCAATAACTTAAATATTTTTATGAAAATAATATGACATGCAATTAATTGTACTTTCTTAAATTTTGTAAGTAAAATAAGACTAAAATTTTGAGATGGAAGGAGTATACCTTATTTAGAAAATAGTGTAAAACTATTCTAAGAATATATATATATATATATATATATATATATGCATTTTAGTAAGGGACAATTCGGTTAAATTTTTTTATTTGGCCGAAAAAATTAATCGAAGAATAAATTAAACATTTTAAATACTTTTAAAAATAAATAAAATATAATTAAAAATTTAAAGACATACGAAAGATTTTAAATATTATATAAGTATAAACATTTATATTTATCCTTGTTGTTACTCGTATCGATCACTAATCAAATTCATGCATTTCACATTTATTATTTGGGTCCATGTATAAAAAAAAAATTGAGATAGAACCCAATATATACAGCTAGAATGACCATAAATTCACAAGTATAATTTTAATAGTATAAACCAAATTCTTCTTATGGCCAATGCATATTTATTAATGTCATAATTATGACAACTGATTTTGTTTCTGACAAAAACAGACAATTGCTAGTGTCAAAGATGAAGGTGCTAATTTTGACCATTTTTATGCAGAGAATTGTAAACAATTTCAATTCTTAATATTAATTTGTTAAGAATTGAGTCTGTGATTTTTTGATATAGAGACCCCTTGATTAATATATTTTATATTAAAGAAATTGGAAAATAAAATGAATAATATTGGTTATAGAATAATAAATAATGTTTTTGGGAGAAAAACTCATATTTTTTTATGAAATAAACCTTAAAATAAGATTGATTCAATATGAACTTAGGCTAATAAAAAATCTGTGGTCCAGCGGCTAATTAATTTTGCACTGAAGCGTGACCATCTTTTTTTTTATTCAACCCAAATAATGCTTTTCACGTTTAGGTTTTTTATTTTGTTTTTAACATTTTGATGGGAGACACACTTTGCCTATAAATATATTTCTGAGCTGGTGACTTGGATAGAGCATGGGCATACAGAAGAGGAAAAGAGATGAAAGCCACAAATTTAGTACCTGCAGTTCTTCTCTTCATACTTCATATTCCATCTGCCTTTTCTAGTTTGTTAAACTATAATGTTTCTGAATTTATTCTACCTCTTCCAGTGCAGGTGCTTCCTTTTAGACCTAAGCTTGCTTCATTTCTTCTGTTCTTCCATGTCTTAGTTCGCAATATTTTTTATGTTTTTATTTCATATCAATGCAATTGTTATTTTTCGTTGAATTGCAGGCAAAGCTCAAGCCTAAGCCTTTTGACCACTTTGAATTGGTTCAAAATGTGTGTTAGCCACTCTTTCTGTATATACTAATGTCGTTGCTAGTTACCTATATATACTCGTATTAATATTATATGCGGGTTTGGTTTTTTTTTTTTTTTTTTTTTTTGGTATCATCAGTGGCCGATTTCTGCTTGCGTGTCAACCACATGTGTAATCAGTCCAGAAGAAATTTTCACCATTCATGGGCTCTGGCCTGTATTGAAAGATGGAACTGCTGTCACTGACTGCTCACCAGAACGATTCAATAGAGCAGGGGTACGCGTCTCTGCTGCTTTGTCCAGAGCTAATGCTACATAGAGACTCCTGAATACAATTGTTTTTGGAACATATGTCATTAAAATTATATATATGTTCCGTCTCATATCAATTTTATTTGACCCAAAAAATTAACGTTGAGTAAGCATGCATGGGACAGATTTCAGATCTCGATTTAGAACTCAAGGGTGACTTAAAACGATCATGGCCATCGCTACATGTTCCAGACATCTACAATTTCTGGGCACACGAATGGAACGTACATGGGGGTTGCACACGTTGGCGCCAGGAGAAATACTTCAGGACTGCCTATGACTTCAGGAAAAAATATAACTTCTTAAACTATCTGAAAAAAGGTTTGTTTTTTATATATAAATTAAAACACTGATCGGGTTTTTTTTGTTTTTTTTGTTTTTTTAATTTTTTGATTAACCATACGAATTTTTTAATTTTTTATATGTTACAGGCAAGAAGAAAATCCTTCCAGGGGATTATGCTTCAGTAGTTGACATTATCGAAGCATTGGAAGCTGGTTTAACCCAAGACGTTGGAAGAGAAGTGAAGAACATTGTTCAAATACAATGCATAAAAGTAGGAGGAAAGTATGTGCTGAATCAGATCTTTCTGTGTCTCGATGAAAAAGGCAAGGAACTACAACAATGCCCAACAAGAACAATGTGCAGTGGAGAGCCTTTAATTCCTAAATGCGGGTAAGGCATAATTAATTGCAGTCTCTCAAGTAAATTATTGTCGATTACATGTGTGTGTATTTAAGTTTCCTGTTCCCATGGAGTTGGTTATAATTATTTATCAAACATTATTTTTAAATGTTGGAGCCTTCTTCTGGGATGAGTTGAGATAAATGTTATTTCTTCTTTTTCAAAGATTGTTTTTATTTATTTATTTATTATTATTATATTTGTTTCGTTAGAATTCAAAATAATATATGTTTTTTAAAATATTCTTAATTTTAAAGAAAATTAATTCATTCTTTCATTTTCTGTTTTTCACTATCAAAAAGTTAATATTCTTTATATTTTTTTCTTGTACATATAAATACTTTTAATATAAAAATTTTAAATGAAAAAATTTTGTTACATGAAAAATATTCATTTCTGTAGAAGCTTTACTACATGTCAAAATTTTAAGAGTAAAATATTTTTATTTATAATTGTCTTAATTAAACTTGATCTTTAAATAAGTTAATTATTTCTTTTATTTACTACCAATTGAATTTTGGATAAATTTCTTTTTAAATTAATATTAATTTCATGTAATGCATGATTAAATATGATAACTAATAATTTTAATAAAAAGAGTATTTTAAAAAAATATGAATAAAAAAAATACTTATATGATATACCAATTAATAAACTGTGAAAAATAATATTTTGAGAAAATATTATTCCTTAGTCTCGTGGTTCCAAATTTAAAGAATCAGGGGTTAAATATTGGTACCAATACAATAATTTTTTATTGTGATGATAAATACTCGCGGTTACCTTTTATGGTAAGTGAGCTTATAAAAGCCCAAAGGAAAAGAGTGGACAATTTGGAAATGAAATACATATAATAATATATTAATTAATTTTTATTTATTTAAAAAATTGGTTTCAGCAAAAAGGGTTTTAATAGTTTAACCAAGTGATATCGAGTTTGAATATTTATATATATAAAAATATTTTTGAATAATTATCCTTATTTTATGTGTGAGATGAGAATAAAGAAAAAAATTAATTAGCGAGGTAATACAATTGCGTTAAAAATACAAGAATATTCCATAATAATTTACTCTTTTACAAAATCATCTATGCGTGGTGTAGATAAAGGTGTTTGTAACAGTTATGTCTGATATCATTTTTATTTTTTTGGGCAAAATTTCTCTATCATATATATGTAACTGAAAGGGCGCAAAATATCAGATACAGTGAATAATAAAATGAAAAATGATTGTTTAGTATAATGTTTATAGAGTATTTATTATTTTTAGATTTATGTAATTTTGTTCAAGCGAGTAATCTCTAATTACATATCTCGTCATATTATTTTTACAGATCACCTCCTGCACCTCCCTCTCATTCGCCTCCACCGCCTCCCCCTCGCACACCATCCTTCTCTTGCATTCCTACTGCTTCTCCTCTTCGTCCTCCTGCTCCTCCTCCTCTCCAGTCCCCGCCTCCTCCACCTCGTCGCAGGTCCCCTCCTCCTCCTCCTCGCCGTTCCCCGCCTCCTCCACCTCGTCGCCGGTCCCCTCCTCCTCCTCCTCGCCGTTCCCCGCCTCCTCCACCCCGTCGCCGATCCCCTCCCCCTCCTCGTCGGCCTCCATCTCCTCGTCAGCATTCCCCTTTTTCCATGGTTGCAACAATCAATTCTACTCTACTACAAGCTTACTAGAGTCCCAAGACTTGTCCACTTGCTCTTTCGAGCTGCCTCTCACCAACTGGAGCCGAAGTTCTATCCCTCCCTTTTCAGTTATTATAGTTATAAGAAATAAAGAAGCTACTTCATTATTATTTCTCCGAGCACTGAAGTAGTTGTTGATCTGAGTGCTGCAGTTTGATTTGTTTCTTCCTTTGTATCAATGTAATCTGCTTTCTATGGTTTGATCATGGCAACTTCTTAAATAAAAATAAGTCATTCGAATTATTATTACTACTATTCTTTGAGCAGAAAGTTACAATTTGCAGTCGAATTTAGGAGTCAAAGATGATTCGAGATGTCCAATGATAGAATCATTCAATGTCTGTTGCAAGCTGTAAATTAACCTTATATTATATGCATGGTCGAAGGGTTATTGCAAAGCCATAATTAGTTCATCATATTCTCTCCTCTGCCATTGTGGGGGTGTTAAGAAGGCATGGAAAAATTTAAAATACTTCGAGAATAAGTATTGTATATTTATAATATTTATTATATGGATTCACTCGTGAGGAGAGAGATAAAAAAATTATATCAAAATCTATAAAAAATGATAATAATATTTTCAGCTAGACTTATTTATTTTTTCATTTTTAATATCAGTTTGAAGTACTTCAACCATATATAATCGAATTGAGATATAACAGTTCCGGTTGGTCATCTCCATGACTGCATGAATTCAGCCATGCCTCGGGTTTTTAAACTAGATATTTCAAGCATTGAAAGAGGATAAGGATTTTTGTTTTTCACATTTAATTTGCCTTTTGCTCTTAAACTTTTTTTAAGTGACAGGTATTTCTTCGAGTACCAGGTAACAATGAAAATCAATCCATGATTAGTATTGTTAAAAGAAACTATCTCGGATGAAATAAATAAATAATAGATGAGAAATATAAATTATATAAAAAAATATCAAAAAAAATTCAAAAAAATTGATCCGTCATGAAATAACAAGCAAATAAAAACCGAATAACATCTCGTTGAAACCAGCAATGAAATAGTGATGGATTAATAACGGCTTATTAGTGACGTACACCAAATGCTAACTCGCTGATTCCCACGTAGTTCAAAAATTACCCTTCTACCTCGACAATCTATAGTGGCACCATGCCTTGTTAGCCAATCCATCCCCAAGATCAAATCAAAATCTTAGAGATTTAACACTATCGATCAGCCTCTAGACTTTTAACCTCAATCTATATTGAACACTCTTTAACTATGCCTCGTCGACTTCATAAATTCTCTAGAAGGGATGGCTATAAGATACCCGACGACTAATGTCTCATGTTTGGAGCCTAGGCTTTTTACTAATGTTTTTGATATGAATGAATGTGTAGCACCGTAATCCATTAAAACATAAGTAATCAAGCCAAGGATTGAGACATTACCATAAATCACTACCGCGTGTCTCCGGTCGGCCTCCTCTTGCATCATTCTATAAACTCGAGCAGGTACCCTTCTCGATCCTCGGTCTCTCGCACTCGGAGGCAGCTGTAGGATACGTGCCCTTGCTTGCGACATACATAGCAAGTCCTCACATCCGGTCGATACTCCTCGATGTGGAACCTCCCACACTTACCGCATCGAGGTTGATTACTCATTGTCGATCCTAGCCGATTACCCGATAGCGATCTAGAAGCGTATGGTGCCGGTCTTGCGGCTCGTGTATTTCCCGGACCACCACCTCAATTAAAATTCCTAGATGGGACTCGCCTCATCGGCTTGAATGAAGAGGCTCCAAATTTAAATGTTTGCCTCTTCTACCGTACTTCTTTTACAATCTTCTTCCGATCCTCGTCCGCCAACATTGCCTTATCTACCATATTTGGAAAGGTGTGGGCGGTCGACATCCGTACCATACTTCAAACTTTGGGGTTTAACCCTCGCTAGGAATTGTTTTTTTTTAAAAAATTTTTTTTTCATCCCATGTAATGAATGGGACGAATCTACACCCTTATTCAAACTTCCGCACGTACTTACTCACGTACATACCATCCTATTTCAATTTCGAAATTTTTGAATTTTCCTAGCCCTCACATCCGCAATAAAGTACTTATTGTAAAAGATCTCCTTAAACCTTTCCCATGTTAAAGTAGGCACGTCTACCGTTAATCGTGCAGCTTCCCATCATGTATGAGCATCTTTGGTTAACATAAAGATAGTGCATGACACTCGCTCGTTATTGGTGAATTGTCAATACTCAAATATTGCTTCCGTGGACTTGATCCATTCTTCTGGCTACTATTTGATTAACACCCCCGGCAAACTCTTAGCGATTCATTTTTCAAAATCTTTCCACCGCATCATTCCTATGCCGAGGCGGAGGTCGCTCGTTGCATAGCTGAAGCCGCCTCATTTGCTCCACATAGGTTTGTTGTTGTTGTTGCATTGTTTTCATCATACGATTTAAAGCTTCTTGTTGATTCCCATTGTTATTATTGGAGGTCACTTCTCCTCCTACTCGTACGAGATTCTTTCTTGGCATGATTTAGCTTTGTACATATTACGTTCAAGTTAATTTTAATATTGGAATTCTTTCTAATTACATGCGCCACATAATATAAAGTATCCAAGAACATATAAAACTAAACATATCATACATAACAAACATTCATATTGACAAA